GTTTTCCGGTGACCTTGTCATCACCAAACGGCTCCAGTCCTCTCCTTCATCGACGGCGAGCTTCTCCCTCTCCTTCTTCGTCTCCGATTCTGGCAAAGCCTGGGAATCACGAGCAAGTCGCCATTCTGTTTCGCTCGAGACAGTTGCGTCTCCGGCGATTGCGGACCAGTCGAGTGGTCCTTCTCATCGGCGATCGGCGACAACCCTCCAGTCTCTCTCTCACTTCGTGTAGTTGTCGTTAGCGCAGCAAGGGAGGCGCATGGGTTGTGTTAAACTGATCTACACAGCCCCCATTTTCTGCTTTTCTTCCCGTTTTTCGGCCTTCCCGTTTTTCGGCCAAATGAGCTACTAGTCCAACAAACAAGCGTTAGATTTGGGCTCTCAAGGAAATTTCGAGCAATTTGGTGTGGACAACGTGAAACTCTGGGCAGAATCGACTTTCCGGCCACCGTGAACGGCGGTCCGGCGAGTCTCCGGCGAGGCCCCAAAGAAACAGAATTGTTCCCTCCTTACGCTGATCATGGAATCATCATCCGACTTTCGATTGGTACGCCCTAAGACCCAGTTCTTAATTTTTGTATAAATTTCAAATTTAATTGATTAGTAAATTTAATCGATTATTTAAGAAGATTTAATTAATTAAATAACAAGAAATTAGAGTATGGGGATAGTTATATGTAAACAAAACAATTTGTGTCTTTAATCGAAATATGATTTCCTCGTTAGATAAATACACTAAATCTTTGAAATTTAGGTTACAAAGTCATTTAGGAATATTGGTTACAAATCGAAATGTGAAAGATAAATTGGAATTTAGTTAGTTAGTTAATGTAGTAAGATAAAATTGAATTAGTTTGTTAGTTAATTAGTATAATCATTAGCTTAAAACCAGTTGGTTGTGCAATAAGGATAATTAAGAGGAGTTTTCAAACGATTAACGAGTTTAGATGTTTATATTCTGATAAACTTAAGGGAATTCGAAAGCCTAACCACTTCCGCATATGGATATAAGGAATATTAAAGAATCAATCTAAATAAATAGTAGTTATAAAATAGTTATTGTTAAAAAAATAGGTTTTTAACAACTACATTTAATTACCATAGAGTTTATTAATTTGGTCAGGCTTATGATTGGTAGCCAAAATATTTTATATGAGTTATTTGTTTGAAAAGTTGTTATATTTATAAAACTCATGGTTTGAGATAATGGGTGTTGATACTGATGTTTAAGGAGCGATGGACTTAAATTTGTTGGTTGCCCGACGGGATGGGCTGCGTGCCTTGATTGATAAATATATATAATATCTGTGATATTTGAGCCAGGTAGATAGTCCAATTTTTAGGGGAGGTGCCTGCCGAAATTTCGATAGAACTTAGATTAATTTTAATTAACAATAATTAACTAAGTTTAGTTAGATTTAGTTCTAATAACTTGGTACATAATAAATAGAGTGCTCTGATTATTTTATTATCTTTATTACGCATCTTAATTCATTTACATATTAATTTATTTGTTTTCATTATTGATTGTTATTATTGTTATTTATTATTTATTTTATTATTGTCTGTTTATTGTTTGAATACTATTTAATTTATATTTGCATTGATTTTTGGATGTTTAATTGGTGCATTTTGCATTTACGATGTTTAATTGATTTATATGTCTGCATTTGATTGCAATTGTTTGATTACCTGTGCTGTGAATATGTTGTGCCTTGTTTGTGTGAATTGGGGATGAAGTGGACCACCATGGGTTTGTGAGGACGGTCTGTGATTGATATGGATCCGATTATGATTTGAACATTGACCGATCGGCCGGGAAAATGGGAGATCGGCGCCCCCCTTGTGCAACCTGATGACTATAGATATTATGGGAAAATTCACAGGATGGCTTCTTGTTGTTGCCGCCACCTGATTAATCTAGATTTGATTGTAGCCCGCAGGGGTGGGCCTCCTGTGTGAGCACTTGATGATCTAGATTGGATGGAGGACCACCGGCGTTGCCTGCCTGGTGTTATGGAAAAGAAACGAGGGAAATTGGAAAAAAATAATGAGAGGACTGGTCAGTGAGGATAGGGACCAGTTTGCCGTATGCGGGGATGCGGCCTCCCTGGTGCACAATGTATGAGAGGGCGAGCCATGTGTGAGGACGGCTCGTTGGGGTTTTCAGGTGGCCGCCACTGACTTGGGGTTTCGGTGACGCCACAGACCAATTTCCACGTGATGTGATATTAATTGTGATTACTGGTGATATGTCATTTGTGTGACTGGCTGTATGAGCATATAACTAGTCGGACGACTAGATTAATATGTTTACACATTTGTGTGACTGCGTGTGTGGTGTAAAATTATTACTCCTTAGAAAACTCACATGTCTTGTTTGATTTTTTCAGGAAGTAGGTTTTTCCTTTAATCCAATTTAGGCTATGTTTCTTCAGCGCAGGGCAATAAAGAATTTTTTCTAGTTCCATAATTATTTTGCTATGTAATTATGTGTATGAAAGCTATGTATACTAACAGTTATGTATACTTTTAATCGTTTAATATTTAGATGAGATAATTATGTAAACCCATTTAATAAATGTAATGCATTGTTAATTAGGCCCGAACTGTGGAATGTTGTAGCCGATAAATTTGGGCCGAGATTTAATAAAATATCGAGGTTTATCTTTCGTAATCATATGGGTTGAATGTGGAAATTTTATACTGAGATAATAGTTATACTGAGATAATAGATTTTAACGTTTTAGGCTTACTACGGGCCTCGGGGGCCTTAAGCTTACCTGGGCCCTAGTGCCGGTCCGGCCCACGGAAATGGGTCGTGACAAGTAATCGCTTCATTTCACTTGAATAGTAATATTTTATTTGTTCACAATACTTAAAAAATGATTGGAATATATTGATTTTTTAAGAATACACAGTCGAATACCTAAATTTTACTATAAAGCTGATGCTAATCTAATCTCATATTAAGTGCCACCATTAGAGTAGTACTTCCATTTTATTTTTTCATTCCTTGATATTATAATAAAAAACTTTTAGTTATGTGTATGGTCAAAATTTTAATCTAATTGCAACTAAAGTAACGATAAAAAAGAAAAAATAAATGTAAATATTAAAATAAATTACACTTAATAAATATGGGTAAATTTAGAAAAGAATTTATTAATGTAGTCTCAAAATCCTAAATAACCACTTAAAGTGGAACAAAATAAAATATTCATTTGTTGTTATTAAAGTGTAACAAAATAAAATATTCATTTGTTGTTATTAAAGTGTAACAAAATAAAATATTCATTTGTTGTTATTAAAGTGTAACAAAATAAAATATTCATTTGTTGTTATTAAAGTGTAACCATTGCTTTTCAGATAAAAAGTGAAAAGTTCAAAAGAGATCTAAATGAGTTTTTAATCTTTTCACTAATGGGAGTGAAGTTTTGCATTGAAATTATCTCGAATATAAGAGTTTTTACCGGTTTAATGATTTAAGGTAACCCATCATCTTATTAGTCTTATTTCATTATAAATAATTTAATGTGAAAAATGAAATGTATATTTTTTTCTTTTTAAAATTTGACTGCCAAAATTTTTAACCATGATAATGCCACAATTGCATTTAGATTGTCAAAATTCCATTTAAACATGATAAGGAAGCAAATGTAATTTCAATTGTCAATTTGTGACTCCAAATAACAGATCTAGACCGTCTATTGACTTCTGTTTAAAATGTCCATTTGCTTAATATTCAAGTGTAGTACGGACCGACTAATGATGCAGCTCAAACATATCATAACCACCAAATTCCTATCCAACGGCACCATCCCCTTTCTTCGCGTCATTAAACATTTGTCATTAGTTTTTGTCAAAGACGTAATTAAGAAAGACAAATCATGCATTATAAATCCCTAGTATGAAATTTTTTTTTTTCTCACAAAATATTTGAAGGAGCGTAGATTCTCATATATACTTTTTTAAAGAATTATCTTTAAAATTTAAATAAATATACAATAATTTAACAACAGATTTTTCAAATCGGTTGTTTCAGAATTTTAGTGTGGCATAATTTTTAGAATTTATTAATCTATTAATACGTTAGTTTCCAGCATATTAATTTACATAGTACTTTTTATTCTTAAAATTTGAAATGTAATATTTTTTTTCTCAAAAAAATATTTTAATCATTGATTTATTATATTACTAGCAAAGCACGGGCTTTTAAATTGATGAGAGACTAAATTTAACTTTTTAAATTTTGTACTTATCATTGAAATTAATAGACAGACTAAATTGCTAATTCTAAATCTATAGAGACTAAGTTTATAATAATTTATTCTTAATGTTAATAATTTAACTAAATTCATTAATTAATGTAAATTTCATACTGAAGTAGCCTCATATGAGTTTAAGTCAGAACTAGAATTAATATATTACTATGTAAATATAATATAATATAAAATAAAATAAATCTAAAAATGTATAAAAATTTTGAGTTTAATTATTACTCAAATAAAAATTTATTAAAAAATTATATAAAAAATTTAGATGTGTTATTAATCTTTCTAATCATTCAAGTAAATTACCATTAACTGTCTTATTTTTAAATTTTTTTTTATAATTATTTAGCTTTTGTAGATTTGAATTCATATTTTCATTTATTGGTTATCTTGGATCAAAATTCGAATTCATTCATTCACTGGTAATATTTTATTTTGGGTGAGAGACTTGATATTAGATTCACTTGCATGTATGCTTAGCAAGGATAAAACATAAACTTCTTATATATATATATATTGATATTAGATTCACTTGCATGTATGCTTAGCAAGGATAAAACATAAACTTCTTATATATATATATATAAAACATAAACTTCTTATATATATATATATATATATATAAAGATAAGAAAATATATATATATATATATAAAGATAAGAAAAAAACTTAAACACATTCTTTATTGTCCAGTTCGCCCTGTCAAATTAACAAAATGCCTCCCATGTCCTAGCTATCGTTCTTCTCTTTCTCAAATTTACACACATAATACACTACTCATCATCGAGACACAGATCTAAGGGAGAACTGAAAAACCCCTCTCGGTCTCTCTCTTTCTCTTCTTCTCTCCGATCTACCTCTGCTTATTCGTTTATCTCAATTGGATATAAGCTCTATATCTCCCTTTCTATATGCTACAATCCTACATCTAATACTCTCCTTTTTGGGTTGTAGATGCGATTTGGTCTCTCCTCTTTGATCTAATCAGATCTAAGGTAAATTTTGGCGCTTCTATTCAAATCTCATTTCTGTATTGAAATATGGGATACTTCTAGATCTATTTTCTGTTTTCATTTCTACCGTTTGGTTGCCGTGATAATACGAGAAAATCTGATGGGAAAGTTGTCTTACGTGATTTCTGAAATTCGCGCGTGATTTGGTCTTACTTAGTCGTTTTTTGCTTTGGTGCTGCGTCATTTTGTCTCGTTTTGATCTGATTTGTGTTCTTTTTCTTGTGTAGTGATTTGAGGGGAGGGTTTTTTGTTGCTTAGAAAATATGTTGACGAAGTTTGAAACGAAGAGTAATAGAGTGAAAGGACTGAGTTTCCACAGTAAGAGACCGTGGATCCTTGCGAGTCTACACAGTGGCGTGATCCAGTTATGGGACTACCGAATGGGAACGCTAATTGATAGATTTGATGAGCACGACGGGCCTGTTCGGGGAGTTCATTTCCACAAATCTCAGCCTCTATTTGTCTCTGGAGGTGCGTGAATTGTCAAATTCTCTCTTACATTTGCTTTACCTCATTGGTTTCAAGCCTTATTACATTGCTGGAATGAATCTATTATGGTTTTGTGTATGCTATGCTGTTTTTAGTTTAAATCTCAGTTACTGATTAGAGAATGTTAAATTTGATTTTGTTTTGTCAGCTGTGGTAGAATTTGGGTTAGATCTGGGAGATTTGTGCTTAGGGAATAATGATTTGGTACGTTAGTAAAATGAAGTAGGAGATTACCATGGATTGGCTGAGAGTTTTAATTTCTGTGCTGCTGTAAAATGGTGCAACATTGCTTCAAGAACTCTATCCCTTCAGTTACCTGTTACCTTCATTGAGGACATTAATGTCTTGTTTCTTGTTGGTCCTATACTTCATTTTGAACTCTTGACATTCAAATTCAATGTGCTAATTTTGTAGTTAGAATTATTGATCTGCTGTCCTAGGCTTCTCTTTTAAATCTGGAATTCTGAATATAATAGTATCTGCGTATATTAGGTATATCTTTGTTAGTATTATTTTGGACGCAAAACCTCCCATCATATAATTTGGCAGGATCCATTTCTGGTCTGTGATATAGTGAAAGAGAATTGGTTACAGATCAAATTTTACTTGTAAATTAAATATTGAGTTCATGCATTAGTTATTACTTTGTGCTTCAATTTTTTGCCTAAAAATTTCAGACTGCCTCATAGATTGATGAGAAAATGTTGAAACAGAGTACTTGTTTGCCTTATTTTCTCTGCTCAGATGCCTGTTTCTAAATAACCAATGGTTTTGCAGGCGATGATTATAAGATTAAAGTTTGGAACTACAAGATGCATAGGTGCCTGTTTACACTTCTTGGTCACCTTGATTACATCCGTACTGTGCAGTTCCATCACGAGTACCCCTGGATTGTGAGTGCCAGTGATGATCAAACCATTCGTATTTGGAACTGGCAGTCACGAACTTGTATTTCTGTGTTGACTGGTCACAATCACTATGTCATGTGTGCCTCATTCCATCCTAAAGAAGACCTAGTGGTTTCCGCCTCTCTAGATCAGACTGTTCGCGTTTGGGATATTGGTGCCCTGAGAAAGAAGACAGTGTCCCCTGCTGATGACATACTGCGGTTGAGTCAGATGAATACAGACCTTTTTGGGGGGGTAGATGCTGTTGTTAAATATGTCTTGGAAGGCCATGATCGAGGAGTCAACTGGGCTGCATTCCATCCCAACCTTCCCTTGATTGTCTCAGGAGCAGATGATCGACAAGTGAAATTGTGGCGTATGAATGGTAAGTCGGTAACCATGTGACTTCTCCTAAATTTCCATACATATACATCATTAATGCCTTAAGAAGCATACTTGCAATACTAGTAAATTGCTCGTGTGAATTGAAAATTTCTAAATTCTAATTGCTCTTGATCCCATTTTTGGAAGCCTGATATGTGAAACCAGCATGCTTGCCTTTTTCGTCACTTCTTTTTATTACTTGGAATAAATTCACAACTGCAATTTTTTCTTTTGTTGACTTGTCTTCAGACACAAAGGCTTGGGAAGTTGACACTTTGAGAGGACACATGAATAATGTGTCATGTGTTATGTTCCATGCCAAACAGGATATCATTGTTTCAAATTCAGAAGACAAAAGCATTCGTGTTTGGGATGTAACTAAACGAACTGGAGTTCAGACTTTCCGTCGAGAGCATGACCGGTTCTGGATCCTTGCATCTCACCCGGAGATGAATCTCCTTGCTGCAGGCCATGACAGTGGCATGATTGTCTTTAAGTTAGAGAGAGAACGGCCTGCCTTTGCAGTCAGTGGTGACTCATTGTTCTATGCTAAAGATCGCTTTCTGCGGTTCTTTGAGTTTTCAACTCAAAGGGATACTCAAGTCATTCCCATTCGGCGACCTGGTACCACCAGCCTGAATCAAAGTCCAAGGACACTTTCTTACAGTCCTACAGAAAACGCTGTTCTTGTTTGCTCAGATGTGGATGGTGGATCTTATGAGTTGTATGTCATACCTAAAGACAGCATTGGTAGGGGTGATACTGTGCAGGAGGCAAAGAGGGGTGCTGGGGGATCAGCCATCTTTGTGGCTAGGAATAGGTTTGCAGTGCTTGACAAAAGCAGTAACCAAGTCTTGGTCAAAAACCTGAAGAATGAGGTTGTTAAAAAGAGTGGTCTCCCCATTGCTGCAGACGCAATATTCTATGCTGGAACAGGTAACTTGCTTTGCAGGGCAGAGGACAGAGTAGTCATATTTGATCTCCAGCAAAGGCTTGTTCTTGGAGATCTTCAGACGCCTTTTGTGAAGTATGTTGTTTGGTCTAATGACATGGAAAGCATTGCCTTGCTCAGCAAACATGCCATCATCATTGCTAGCAAGAAGCTTGTGCACCAGTGCACACTTCATGAGACAATCCGTGTAAAGAGTGGAGCCTGGGATGATAATGGTGTTTTCATTTATACAACTTTAAATCACATAAAATACTGTCTTCCTAATGGTGATAGTGGTATAATTAGAACTCTTGATGTCCCAATATACATTACAAAGGTTTCTGGAAACACCATATTTTGCTTGGATCGGGATGGAAAGAGTAGAGCTATTGTCATTGATGCAACAGAATATATCTTCAAACTTTCTCTCTTGAGGAAGAGGTATGACCATGTTATGAGCATGATTAGGAACTCTCAGCTTTGTGGGCAGGCAATGATTGCCTATTTACAACAGAAGGGTTTTCCTGAAGTTGCTTTGCATTTTGTGAAAGATGAGAGAACTCGATTTAATTTGGCCCTTGAGAGTGGAAATATTCAAATAGCTGTTGCTTCAGCGAAGGAAATTGATGAGAAAGATCACTGGTATAGATTGGGGGTGGAAGCTCTTCGCCAAGGTAATGCAGGTATAGTTGAATATGCCTATCAGAGGACCAAAAATTTTGAGAGGTTATCTTTCTTGTATCTCATAACCGGAAATCTGGAAAAGCTTTCTAAAATGCTGAAAATTGCTGAAGTAAAGAATGATGTTATGGGTCAGTTTCACAATGCCCTTTATTTGGGTGATGTGCAAGAACGCGTGAAGATCTTAGAGAGTGCCGGCCATTTGCCACTTGCTTATATAACTGCTAAAGTCCATGGGCTGGAAGATGTTGCTGAACGTCTAGCTGCTGAATTAGGAGAAAATGTTCCATCGTTACCTGAGGGTAAAGCGCCTTCCCTTCTGATGCCTCCAGCTCCCATTATGTGTGGTGGTGATTGGCCACTTCTGAGAGTCATGAAAGGTATATTTGAAGGTGGACTGGATAATGCTGGTAGAGGTGGTGTTGATGAAGATGAAGAGGCTGCTGAAGGTGATTGGGGTGAGGAACTGGATATGGTTGATGTGGATGGCTTGCAAAATGGAGACATTACAGCTATTTTGGAGGATGGGGAAGTGGCTGAAGAAAATGAAGAGGAGGGAGGATGGGATCTTGAAGATTTGGAGCTCCCACCTGAGGCAGACACACCAAGGGCCTCTGTCACTACTCGCTCCTCAGTTTTTGTTGCTCCAACTCCTGGTATGCCAGTAAGCCAGATTTGGATCCAAAGATCATCACTTGCTGCCGAACATGCTGCAGCTGGCAATTTCGATACAGCTATGCGATTGCTCAACAGGCAACTTGGTATTCGGAATTTTGCTCCACTGAAATCCATGTTTCTTGATCTTCATTCAGGTAGCCTCATACTATCTTTTTGAACTTGTGTATCAGTAATTTTTTTAACTTAATATATTTATATTTTCTTCTACTTCAATATCTTTATTTGTATATATATATTCACTGTACTAACTAATTTTAGTTTCATATTGTATTTATTTTATGTATAAAGATTAATTGCTTTTTAATCTAATAAATTTTCATCATGTGACATGTTACTGTGTTTTGAGTTGGTTTTAACTTTTATAGTCAATTTATTTATTTTTAAATAAAACTATCTATTTAATTTAACCCAGTCATATGTGTTCTAAACTTATCTTTATATTATCGTATTTTTATGCTCAAGTTCGTTATATTATTGTCATTCTTATACATGTATTTGTGCGCACATGCGCATGTGGATTTTCCCTTACTGATACAAATTTTTGGATCCAACCCTGCAGGTAGCCATACCTTTTTACGTGCATTTTCATCGACTCCAGTGATATCTCTAGCAGTTGAACGAGGTTGGAATGAGTCTGCTAGCCCTAATGTGAGGGGGCCTCCAGCATTGGTATTTAATTTCTCTCAGTTGGAAGAGAAGCTAAAGGCTGGTTACAAAGCCACAACAACTGGGAAATTCACTGAGGCACTTCGACTCTTCCTCAGCATTCTTCATACGATTCCTTTAATTGTTGTTGACTCAAGGAGGGAGGTTGATGAAGTCAAGGAGTTGATTATTATTGTTAAAGAATATGTTCTGGGTCTGAAGATGGAGCTCAAAAGGAGGGAAATGAAAGACAATCCAGTGCGCCAGCAGGAACTAGCCGCCTACTTCACCCACTGCAACCTTCAAATGCCTCATTTAAGGCTTGCTTTGTTAAATGCAATGACAGTTTGCTACAAGGCGAAGAACCTTGCCACTGCAGCTAACTTTGCTAGACGGCTATTGGAGACAAATCCCACAATTGAGAACCAGGCAAAGACGGCCAGACAAGTTTTGCAGGCTGCAGAAAGGAATATGACAGATGCCTCGGAGCTAAATTATGATTTCAGAAACCCATTTGTGACGTGTGGCGCAACATATGTTCCAATTTACCGAGGACAAAAGGATGTCTCTTGCCCATATTGTAGTTCACGGTTTGTGCCTAGCCAGGAAGGTCAGCTGTGTACTGTTTGTGATCTAGCAGTTGTTGGTGCAGATGCTTCAGGATTGCTCTGCTCTCCTTCCCAGATACGATAATTGAGACGCTGAACTTAGAAGATTTTCCAGCTCATCTTATTGGCAGCAGAAGAGGTCAACTTGATTGTTTCTTGTGTGCTAGAGAAAAGGTAAGAGAGATTATAGAAGAGTTTAAGTACCCAGTGAATTTGTTTGTGCCGTCTTTTCTTTTTACATTCTATTTTTTTGCCTTTTTCCCTTAATCTTCTTTGCCTCCTTTTTACTTGGTTGATTATGATTTTCAATGTAATAAACAACTTCAGAATTTTGACTTTTAGGCTATTCTTGTTAGTTGTTCATAGACAAGAATGGTCAAGGGCTCTTGTTAAATTAGATGATCTTTATTGGCAGGACAAACTATATATCAATATCAGTGTATTCAAGATTCCATGCCATTTGGCTAATTTGCTTTTCTAGTGGTGAATTGGGGATTCTCTTAGTTGGCAGTGACGTCAATTTTTCTAGTTCAAATAATTATTTTTTCACATATTTTCGGAAACCTTCAAACCAATCTTCTAAGGTGAGGTTTGACTTAGAATAATGAGATTTTTGATATAGTCCCTTAATGAAATTTGGAATTCAAAAATATATAAGTCTTACATTTACATTTTAAGTTTTATCTTTTTTCAATTTATTTTTTAATATATATATATATATATGACATTTGAAAATTTTTATATTTTATTTTAAGTTTATCTTTTTCAATTCTATTTTAATATATTATTGATACTATATATTGACATTTGAAAATTTTTATATTTTATTTTTAAATACTTGATTTTATCTTTCGATTATCACACTTTAAAACTTGAAAATTTTTATATTTTATTTTTAAATACTTGATTTTATTTTGATTATAATTTAAAACATTTAATCTAGGAGAGAGATAAAAAAAGGAAAAAGTATATTCTTTTTTTAATATTTTTTTTATATTTGTATGATTTTGAGTGGATATATTTTTTAAAAAATAAATTTTCAAAATAGAATATACATAATATTTTAGGAGAGAGATAAAAAAGAAAAAAAAAACTTTTTTTTGTATGGTTGTGGAAAAAATTGATATTTTATTTGAAGAGGATAGAACTTTTTTTTATTAATTAATTAACTTACTTATTCCTTTTAGATTTACAACTTATAACAAGAGAGAAACAAAAATACTTGAATAAATTCATTAACCGATCAATTTTGAATCCTAACATAATTTGCTTTGTAATTTGCATTTAGTAGCTTAGCTTTAGTTCCTTTTTTTTTTTTTTTTTTTTTTTTTTTTTTTGTTGTTCCGTCAAACAATTAAATTTTATTAAATTATCGTCTTTTCTAGTTGAAAGCAATGGGCCCGCTTGATTTTTTTGGAATTCACAATTGCAACCCTTTAATATATTTTTTTTTTTTTTTTTTTTGTTGTCCGTCAACATTAAATTTTATTAAATTATTGTCTTTCTAGTTGAAGAATGGGTTGATTTTTGAAATTCAAATTGCAAACTTTAATATAATTTGTTTCTTATTATATGTTGAGTTCTCAAAAGTACTCTTAATAATGATTTTTTATTTTTTATTTTTTTTCATTTTTGAATTAATATTTAACTACTATCACTTTAATTTATTAAGAGATTTATATTTCTCTTAAAATAAATAGATGACCTCTTAATGATTAAGTATTTTTAATTTTCTTAATACTTTTTTTCTTATATTTTAGATATATTTGACTTGAAAGAAAACAGTATTTATGAAACTAAAAAAGAAACTATAACTATATATTTTTGTGTGCATATAAACTTATTTATTTTTGTAATTGACTGGGTAAGTAATATTGTCTCTATAGCCAAAGTGACTAGGATTATCAATTCATATCATATTCTCATTTTTTTTCTCTCTACATAGCCGTAAAAAATAATTTATTATTATTTTTCATTATATTTGTATATAGATAATTGATTTGGGGTTGAGGGCGAGGGGTTGAAAATTAAGTGATTACTTGATTTTCTTTTTGGACACCTATTAGGATTTTAGAAATTTGTATTTATAAATTAGAAACTGAAAGATTAAATTTAAGAATGAGATTTAGGTTTATTTTAAGACCATTTTCATTAGATAAAAATAAATTAAATATATACAAATTAGCATTATAGGTAGTTTATATGGAAAAGTATAATACAAATTAACCTATTGTATTTATTTTAATCTGAACAAAAATTTATACTTTAAGATTATATAGATAAAAAAAAATTAAAAGAGTATAAAAAATGAATATATAACGAGTACAGTCAATATGTAACGCACGTCATAAAAAAGAGTAGTATATAATAAAATGATGATACTCACGTGATATCCCAATATTTTCTGTTCGGACACTGAAATAATAATCATCAAAAAGTTCTAACACTATTAACATAATTAATCTAAAAACAAATAAAAAAATATCTAGGGAAAAAATAATTTAGCCTTAGATTATAATCAACAAAATAGTTAAAATAGATATTTCGGACGAAATAAATTGTTATAAATTAGAGAATTCTCCGGTATTAATTTGATTATAATTATAATTTAAGTATCAATTTATATTTTTCCCTCTTTATGTAAACATCTTTCAAATAATGTTTCCCAATATTTTTAATATTAAGACATTTGTGGTCATATTCATCGAGTATGATAGGCATAAATTAAATTCATCAGGGAACAGGAATTGGAAATTTGTTTGCTAAAATGTAATGGAGCTGCTCACTGGCCAATCTCAGTTTATTACTATAAAAATATATATATATATATATATTAGTTTGCCCTAAAATGTAATTGGAGCCTGCGCTTCACTGGGCCAATCCTCAGTTTTATTACTATTTTAAACAAAGGTACTTATATATACTATATTACTATAATTAATAAACCAAACTTATTTAGAGACAGTCTTCCGAAAAAAAAAACACTTATTCAGAGAAGGCGTCTCTATTCATATATATATATTATTAATTAATAAAAACTTATTAGAGAAGTCTTCGAAAAAAAAAACTTATTAGAGAAGGTTTCTATTCATACTTTGTAGTATACTTTTTGGACGGTTATTTAAATTTATCTAAAATAAATTATATTTCGTCTCGACGTGGCTAACAGTGATTGGTAGGAATACGTGCTCCAGTGGTGATTCTACGCCACATGACAACACTAACGTGGAACTGCCATAAACAACGCAAAGCCGGAAAATGATTAAATAACACATCTCAACCAAAACCAAACTACCAACTGCGAATAACACAGCACAGGCACGCAAAAAGAAATCGGAGGAATCCGTGATCGGGGGAAAGACAATGACTACGTCAGCCATATCATCCACCGCCGCTGCTGCTGTAAACACCACACAAGATGATCTTGTTTTTCTCGACGAACAAGAAACAGACAGTCTGTCTTATTGGGAATTTATTAACCCATCTGATGCCGATTCCGATACAGAATCTCTACATAGTCTCGAAAATGGCTTTGTTTCGTGGTATGCCTTATCTGCCCCTCCATCGTTAAAATCTAAAATTCCGAATCAGGAAATTGAGACCCAAGAGGCAATTCAAGACCAAGATCTTGTAGATGATGTGAATTGTTGCGATGATAATGTCAATTATTATCAAGGTAGTGTAGGGCCTATAATTTTCCCTGTTGTGGGTTATGGGATTGAGGAAGACGAGGAGAAAGAAGAGGAAGAGGAAGACGAAGAGGAAGAGGAAGATGGGTATGGGCTGGATGATGAGCTTGTGCCATGGCAAGTGAGTGGGAAATTAGGGAGACAGAGGATGAGGAAATTGGGGAAGAGGGTTTTTGCTAAAATGGCAAATTCAAAGAGGAATCCTTATTCTTTTGTGAAACCAGGGTGTGTTCGTGGTAAGCACGGTCTGGGAATCATGGCATGAAGAAAAAGGAGAAGAAGGAGCTTTGTTTGAAGGTAATGTGGGGAAAATCTGGTATTGAAATAAGGTTTTCTCCATTAATATATTTTATCTTTTGTGGTGGTTTAGGTGTAATTATTGGAATTTGAATAGGCTTAATTCAAGGTTTTTAGGTTATGTTGATTGGATGACTTGACAGTGGATGTTATCAAATGACTTATTTTATCTCAATGTCCATAGATTTTAACCCAATGATCCATTTGATTTCTTTGTGCCTTTGATTGGATTTACTATTGATTTGATAGTTGGGTTTAGTGATTGAATTTTTCGATTATAGTAATTGGATTTGTATCAGGAGAATGCTTTTAACGTCTTAGTTCAATGTATATCTTTTTTTTTATCATTTGTTTGTTTGCTTTATAATCACTTTCAGAAAAGTCTTTAAGCCTTGATCCCACTGTATAACAACCCTCGTTTACCCGAGCTTGGGACTTGATATGGTTTGCTAAGTTCACATAAGCGGACTGAAAAAATTTTAGTCTTAAGTGACAGGTCAAAATCCCAATTTCTTTTACCCAAATTTAAATCAATCGTACTATAAAGCTGGACATGAATAAATGGTTTCATTTGCTTTTGGGTAAAATTTGAGAATGGGTCATGGGCCTGAGAATTTGTCCAGAATATGGTTCTTTCTTTGGGTTAGCAAAGTCCTTCAGACAAGTGACATTAATTGTCTTGCCAGTTATGTCTTGATGAGGGCTCTGAATGTGATTGTAACATTTCCTTTATGCTCTTATACAAGTAAGAGCAGAAGTTTGGTTGGTGGTTGAGTTTGGTGACTTCAATGTTTTGGGGGAAAAGGAAATGGGTTTGGTGTAGTAGAAGTCACTCTTGTGTCTGAATTTCACTTGGAATATAAGATTTTTAAGAGTAAAGCATATTAAAATCACACATTTTGAAACTTGTTAGGCATTTCTTTCAAATTTAAATTCTAAGTATTTGAGAAATCCACACAATGGGTTTTAATCAAGTTCAAATTTGAAGACTCAACTACATAAAATTCAAACACAACATTGCATAGTTTGAATTTCTTAGTTCAAAGTGTGAATGCTTTGTGTTCGAGTAAATTGGAGGAAGGATTTAATAAGGGGATACTTGTATTGAAATATATAGTTTTTAGTGAAATATCTAAAATAGTCCCTAAAAACTGGTTTTGTACTTAAAATTTTTGAAAGCCATGATATTAGAGAATTGCTTTTATAAATAGAACACAGCAGCTCATTGAGCTTCAACACTTAGGTTGACCATTTTATTTTGTTTATGAATACAATTACCGGTATTAAAATTTATTTATTAATAGTAAAATTATGATCTTTTTTTTTAAATCAATCAACTTTTTAAATGATTATAAATTATTAGAAACTAAATTACTATTATCAACAAGATGCTAAATTGCTTCTAATATTATTTTAATTAAAACTAGAACAATTATATTACTACTTATAAGTCAAAATTAAATTATTTAAACATACAATTAATTATAATTTTCTCAATTTGATGAGTTCTATTGTTTTTTCATTTGAATAATATATTAAAATAAAAAATAATACATAATATATCAAAAATAAATTATATCCTTATTAATCATTTAATACGACGACACTAAGTGGTTATTTTTACCAAACATATAATTGAAATACCCCGAAATTTTATTTTCAAAACTTTGGAATTTTTATTAAATCAAAAATCCGAATTTTTGATAGTATGGGTTGTTAAGACAATAAATTAATATCTTATTAATCATTTAATACGACCGACACTAAGTGGTTTATTTTTACCAAAACATATAATTGAAATACCACCGAAATTTTTAAATTTTCAAAAACTTTGGAATTTTTTATTAAATCAAAAAATCCGCAATTTTTGATAGTACATGGGTTGTTTTAAGAACTGAGCAAGTTTAACTTGAGCCCAAATTTGAAATTGGGCCCCGCAAGCCCAATAAACAGACCTGTTCCCGGGAAATTTTGGAAATGAAATAATGGAAATGCTAACTAGTATAAACTAATTATCCTGAATTAACTAGTTGTTATTATTTATTGTTTTGTATTATTAGAGAAGTAAATTGAAGAAATGTTTTTAATGACCCAACTTAAAATAATTTTAAATAAATCGATACCGGACCCGGAACATCAATTTTGAATGTCGAAAACCCCACGAAATTATCGAAAACCGAGTGAAAAACTCGAAAACCAAACAAAATGAGACCAAACCATTAAATCATGAACCAAACCGGTTCAAAAAATCGAAACTTAAGAATAGTCCCTAGAAGGCCCACTTTCTTCTCCTTTCTCTTTTCTTTTCCCTTTCCCCCTTCTTTCCTTCCTTCTTTCTTCTTCTCGCGCGACATCCTCCCTTCTTCTTCCTCGCGCGACATCCTCCCCTCTCTTGCTCACTACGATCTCCGTCCACCAGCCATGGAAGTCGACACTAAGCACTCCATCTTGCTCCTCTTGTCGAGATGAACTCTTCTATGGTCTTAGTTCGCGTGATGAGGCCTGAAATTGAGAGAGATCGCGATTGGAAGGCTGTCCACCGCGCGATGAAGTTTTCCGACGAAATCTCATCAATTCCGTCGACTCCAAGTGCTGGGGTTGGTCTCAAACAACTCCTCTCCTACATATGAACCTTTTTCCCCCATTAATTTGTGATGTTGAGTTGGCTTGAGTTTTTGATAACCACATGCGAACCGAGCGGCTTTTGAAGGTGGCTGTTGGAGCTAGAGTCCGGCCCAAACGAGGCACTGGGCTCAACAAAGTGATAGCAAGATTTGGGATTCCCTTACGAAAATATGGAGGCGGGTGTGGGTGACGCTTGCAAATTTTCTTGGGCCCGGTTTCACTTTTCCGGCCACCGTGCACGGCGTTCGGCGGTCGGGCACCGTGCACGGCGGTCGGCGGCGGCGGTCAGGTGACCGGCCGGCGGCGCTCCGGCGAGGCCCCGAGAGACAGAATCCTCTTCTCTTCCCGCTAATCATGGAATCGTCGCCCGATTCCCAATGGGTACGTTCTAAGACTTAATTCTCAATTTTTATATATAAAGCATTAATTGATTAATGAATTTAATTGAGTTATTAACTAGACTAAATTGAATAACAAGACATTAACTTATTGGATTAACTTAAAAATATATGAACATTTATGGTCTTTTGTAAATAAATTAGATTGATTAGTGTGCGTATTTGGATAGCGAACATAATTTGTTAACTGGTTTAGGACTTTAGAATAATGTAATTGTAAATTAGTTTAGAACATTGTCAAATAAATTACATGATTAATATTATGATTAGGTGATTTGAGGAGAAAGAATAAATTAGAATTAGTTAATTAGTCAATTAGATAACCATTAGATTAAAACTAGCCGATTGTGCATAAGAGAAATAAGGCGAATTTTAGTTGGTTAACGACTAGAATCGAAATTCGATAAATTAAGATTTGGGAGGCCTAGCCATTTTCGATATTGATATAAAAAAATTGAATTTTTATAGGTAGTAGTTATAATTAGTTATGGTTAAAATATGTTTTAGCTGTTTAACAAATTAGTTACCGTAAAGCTAATAATTTAATTAATTAATGACTTAATAAATGATCTCATATGGATATTATTAGAATTAGTTTGTAAATAGAATTAGTTTTTGTAAATTTTTGTTGAGTGTTGATTATGTTGTTATGGAAAGGAGGAATGGGATTTTAAATTGATTGATTGCGCCGACGGGATGGGCTGTTGTGCCAATTGATTGGATAAAAGATATAAGATATTGTGGAAAATATGTGAGCAGGTAGATAGTTTCAATTTTAGGGATGTGCTTGCCTGAAATTTGATAAAAAATTAGACTAAATTTTTATTAACAACATAATTAATAAGTTTTATTTAGATTAGTTCTATATATTTGGGTATATAATAAATATAGTGCCTGATTTATTTACTGATCTTTATTATTCCATTTAAATTAAATTTAACATATTTATTTATTTATTTTCAATTATATTGTTAATAATTGTTTATTTATTTATTATTGTTGATTATTTGTTAAATACTATTTATTTATTTATTCCATTGATTTTGATGTTTAATTGTGCATTGCATTACGATGTTTTAATTGATAATAGCTGCATTTGAATTGCAATGTTTGATTAATTGTGTTTGTGATAATGCTATGCTTTGTTTGTGTGGAATTGGGATGAAGTGGACCACCGTGGTTTGTGAGGACGGTTTTTTTGTTGATATGGATCGCGAATATTAAATATGATATTTGACACGTCGGCCGAGAAAAATGGGAGATCGCGCCCCTGTGGTGCACGCTGAATGAATATGGATTTATGTGGAAAACCACAGGATATGGCTTTCTTGTTGTTTTGCCGCGACACTGATAAATCTAGATTTGATGTAGCCCCTGCAGGGTGGCCTCCTGTTGTGAGCATTGATGATCTAGATTGGATGGAGACCACCGGGTTTGGCCTTCCTGTTGGATGGAAAGAAAGGAGAAGAAATGGAAATACCAAATGAGAGGAACTGGTCAGTGAGGATTAGACCAGTTGGCCGTATGGGGGATTCGGCTCCTGGTGCCACATTGTTAATGAGAGGGCCGAGCCATGTGTGAGGACGGCTCGTTTTGGGTTTTCAGGTGGCGGCCACTGACTAAATTTCCACGTGATGTGATTATATGAAAAGATGGTTATGATGTGAGTGCTGTGAATATGCATTTTGTGTGACTGGCTTGCGTGAGCAATAATAACTAGTCGGATGACTAAGATTAATATGTGTAACACATTGTGTGACTGGACTGCGTGTGTTGTGTATAATTAATTACTCCTTAGAAAACTCACATGTCCTTTGCCTTAAATTTTTCAGGAAGTAAGTGTTCTCTCTAATTCGGGTTTAAACTATGTATTTCGAGTGCAGTCGCGGGTCTGGTGTCGTATATTCCGTGCCTCATGGGTTTCGTTTTTTCTGAAACCCTCTGCCAGATGCCTAGGCCCTTCGCCGGTTGCCGGGTGGTCGCGCCTGATTCTCCCCGCAGAGGATTTATTAAGAAGTTTTGCCCCAGTTCCCCAATAATTTGTTTTGGCTATGGTTATTATATGTATAGAGAAGCCTATGTCAAATAAACAAAAACAGTTATGGACTGCCGCAGTTGTAGAATTTAACATAACGGCCTAGTCCGTGTAGTAGAATATAGATTGAAGTTAATTCTTGTTTAGCCCATATTAAAAAATGTGTTTAATAATTGTAATGGGGCCTCGACTGGTGAAAT